TACAGTAGAAATAAAAGACAACGGATTCTGGTACTCGAGAGACACCGAGACACACACCTGAAGAGTTCATCTGCATGTCGCTGGGCTAACCTCCGTGATCTGTTAATACACCGTCAGCGGTCTCTGTACTCCGCAGTTGTACGGCCACTGTCCGGGACGCAGCAATGACAGGGAACGAGGCCACAATGCCCCGTTTCTGATCCGTATAATCGCTGGAGCCTCATGCGCAAATGACCGTGAATCAAAGTGTCGCACGGATTTAATTCGATTTTTAATTCGAAGTTGTATAATGAAATGGTCTACCTGTTTGTGTGCTTTTACAAAGGATCTACTAGTAAAAATGTGAAGATTAAAATCCACTTATGTTGGGTGAGTCATAAATCGTTATCTATAATAAAAAATAATAATATTATCAGTAGTTGTGGAGCTTTTCCACAAGACGCTATTTTCCGCACGTAGACACTGACATAAATCCATGCACAGCAATCTGTCATGATCTACTCCTAGTGATAATACTTTCCATATCCTGTATGTATCAATAATGAGAATGTACTACTACATAACATTTAAATATTATGCATATTAACCGGTGTTTACCTAACGTAAACAGTCCGCTTCAAGCGATTACACGTTTCCCTGTTTTGTCCGTTTTAAAAGTAAAGCGTTTATTCACAAAGACTAATAATCCAGAACAAACAATCCGATTTTTGGGAAGCACACTCCTGGGCCGAGGTAAGAAGGAATAGAAAAACTTCGCAAACACACAGCAATGCGCCGCTTCTTCTGGAAATAAAGTAAATATTGGAATCCCACGCTGTTTCCAGAGACAACCATTCAGGTTCTCAGTCACTCCGAGCTTTTAAAAATAGCATGAAGCTGTTTAATGTTTCTGTCTGTGGCATTCCGCAAAGACGCTCACTTCAGAAACCAGAAACAGCCTCTTTTCACTGAAGAATCCGCCGAAATATCGGCCGAGGTCTGGGTGGTCCCTGCCAATATGCTAATAAGCCACATTCAACAAAATAAAAGCAGAACGTACACGCAATTAGAAATTCTGAGGGATTGTAAACTATAGCTGTAACCCCACCGATTTAATGCTGAGATCAGATTAAAAACATTTATTGTAGGCGGGGTGGTTCCATTGAAGATAATAGAAAGCAGAGCACTGAGAGAATGCATTCAATGTGAGAAATCGAATACCACGGGACACGGAGCAAAACGCAAGCGCAATATGTGAGATAGAGGAAAAGTCCTTTAAAGACAAGCTGTTAATACAAAAAAAAACCTCCGAACAAAGAAACAGATCCACGTGCACCTCTTTTTACACGCGCAATAACGTCATGTGAGCTCAAACTACAACGTGGTCTTCGCTCACGCCGCGAGCTGTTTACATCGTTTTTCAAGTATTTACTTTTCCTTAATCCACGGCGATGTGTGGATTCTCTAAATAGCATTTAGGTGCCTCGCTCGTGCTAAATAAAGTCGGGGGGTAGATTGACACTGTATTTCGAATGGGTCCTTGTTTGAAAACGCGCACCTAGAGTCAACGTGCAAGAGACCGGGGTCCGATTTTGAGCTGGTTCGAGTGACCGCCTTTGCTTTGTGACCTGTGAAGAACGTGATTAAAGAGGCCGGGTTTTCAAAACGCCGCACAGTCCAGTTAACTGTAAATTAACCAGGCAAAGGTTATCTGATCCCGGGCTGCATGCCTTCTTGTTGGCCAACAATAATTTTCACGGTAATAACAGTACAAAACGTGTTGATCTCTCTATACTTCTCGGACTGCCCCTGTTTTTCCCCAACACGTTATTGCATTGTATCGACTTTTCCTTCTTTTGCCTGGGACCGAGATAGTTGCCTTGTAATCAATCCATCCTTAAAAAAGAAATCACGGTATTTTCTGAGAATGGATTTTTTAAACAAATGTATTAGGACTATCGCTTTATTCCATGAGCATTTCGAGTTTTGAACCGTGTCGTCCATCCAGCTTGGTGATTATCTTTCAAACAAAGCCCACTATAGAAAAGTATTTCTTTAGTTTATTTTAGTGTGGGCTCATCGTCTATAAATCCTAAACGGTTTGGAGGCAGGAGCCGATAATTTGCCAAGCTGTGAGACAGAGTGGGGTAAAAAGACGTCTCGGATCTTTAGTACCAGGTGTACCGATGTAGAAAAGACATATACTGTGTATATCTCTCGGGGCGTGCTGCCTCTTGCACAGCGTGCCCTGTATGTCCAGTCGTGGGCCAGTCACTGCGCGTCGATTTCTTTATTCTTCATCGCCTCAACTGCCGTTCAAAGAGAGACTTGTGGGGTCCCAGATTGCAGGCCGCGTAAGAAATCGACAAGGAGACACACAAAAAATACCCCCACTCCCACGACACGGCCGCGCTCTAGGTCCCAGAACAAGCTATTCGGGCCGGTTTGGACAATCACGACCCACACAAACTCCCCTCTCCAGCGCGGACTATCCGCCCTGTTAGCCTCTTCCGTTCCGTTTCCCGTGAAATTGACCTAGTCAGCTGCTCTGCTTCTCTTGCATGTAACTGGGTCATCAATGCTCAAACAACTGCAATAAACACCCAAAGCTGTGGTGCTCCTGTCGACAATGATATACCAAACGGTACATTGGGAAACCTTTTACCCCTAAAAAGAGGAAAGGCTTAAGTTTCCCTTTTTCTGGACTACCGTCTGAATATCCGAAAGCATGCTGAAATAAAAAGCCCATACATCAATGAGCCCACAGGCCTGTTCGCAAGTGGGTTCACGTCAAGTCTATTTATAACGACTTCCCCCCTTCGCGCTTGTGCCACATTAAATAACAAATTAAATTTAAAACGCTTGCTTCGTTCCGCAACTTCCACATTGCTCTTTAATTTTCTGCTGTAAGTCTGGCTGGTGGATTAACCCTGTGCTATTCTAGTTGAAAGCGTTGGGTTACACACTGTCGTGGTTTAACGAGCGCCTGTGTGGAGCTGTACAAGACCGACAGGGCTCACCGGCACTTCACGGGCAGAAATACCACCTTCCACAGCCCACAGCAAACCGGCTAGTCCGCCCTGCTCCTGCGCTGCGACCTAGCCGCCTTTATCGTTGCTGTTCAAAATGCGGTACACCATTCCAGGCGAAGGAGCTGGTGTAATTTTTCAGAGTTCTCGGCTTTTCTTCTCCTTGAAACCATATGGAAAACATAGACGCAGAAGCGCACGATAACCGAATCCAGGCATCAAAGCCTATAGAACTTCTTAACTAAAGGAACTGGGAGCATATTTCTGTGCGCATCAAAAGCTCTGGAGGGCAACGGGGGAGGCCCACCCCCCGATAATGAGCTTGTCAAAAACACCCCACATAGCAATTTAGCAATTTGCACACAGCTCCGGTAAATAAAAGGGCCTGTGCACCCCCTTCAGCTTAAAACATGTGCTTGGCAAACTTTAAAACGGATTCATTGGCCTCCTGTTTTCTCCTGCGGCGAGTCCCGCAGGCTCTTTGTAAAAATCTCGAGGAACAAGCAACTTGAAAGAAGACAACCGACTGTCCTGTGAGAAGATCGCTTTTCAAAAGCAAATGTGTGTGTGGCTCGGCTGTGAGACCGCTCGCTGGGACCCTATTCACCGACCAGAGCGGGGGTCTCCAGCGACAACGTCAACAAACTCGCAAAGGCGGCATTATACAGATTAGGCCAGATGCAAAAAAAATTGCTACTACAAATTAGCACGAACCTACAGATCCTGTGGACCTGTACACAAGTCGTTAAATTATGCATTTCCCCAAAATCTGCGGTGGCCATTAATTAAAGGCCAGTATTATGGCACCATTCCGGGTAATTATTTGTCCTTTCGTAGGAGCAAATCAAAGACGTTATGTAAAAAAAAAGTATCCGCACAGTGAGGATTGTGTCTCAATGACAGGAAATTACTGCATGTTCGTGTTTTGTTTTGCTGGGGGAGGGCGTTATCACACAGCTCTGTCCAGACTCCCTTTTTAAAACGTTTTTTTAAGTAATGTTTTATATTTATTTGACTTCCATTATTACTATATTGAATGTTAACGTTAATACCATATATAGTACTATTGTTATTATTATTTTAAGGTTTAGAAGAGATTCTCAGCTCCGTAGTCAATCTTAGGAAGGCTTTGCCTTTGTGTTGATGTCCTTTTAAGTTTTCACGCCATTAATGGTGTAATTAGCAGTGTAATTATTACGGGTGCGTGTACTGATAACGCCTCTGGTAAGCTCATTCGGACTCTCGCCCACCCTGTCTCTCGCCATGCAGTTTTTTTCGGCCAAATCGCGGATATCTGCGAACGTGCTGAAATTATCCAACAATTAAATAACTTAACGAAAACTTTTTTAAAAAATTCACAGACATTTATTTTTTTTACATCAAAATGACCTAGGGGACATTTTTGTACTTTTTGTTTGTTGTTGTTTTTTTTTATACAGATACCACCATTTTTCACAGATTCGCTCAATAAAATAGATCACAACTGATGCACAACACGGAAACATAATACGAGGTATCACGCTGTACACCAACAATATTATCTATCAACAAAATAATTACAATTTCACCAAACAGAGATTAAGATAATGGGGCATATTAGTGGAAAAGTAAATTCTATTCTTTACAGCTCCCATCGTCTTTTGTAATGTGCTTTTAAAATAATCAAAAACCTGAGTTTTTCGGCCTAGATATTCAGACAGTGCTAAAAACAAACATAAAAAACCATATCAACCACCAAAATTGATTGCTACACAGCCAGTTGGTTGACATTCACGATTGTTTTAAACCAGATACCTTACAAAATGTTATTTGTACTTTGTATGCTGAAGGTGTGACGAACAGACTTTCCTGCGTTAAAATGTAAATTCGGCTGCTTGACCCTAAAAATTACTTTCTAACGCGATTGATTTTCTGTATAAATCTGACATAGAATTACGTTTCTCCCTCAGAGTATGATACATATTTACAAGTCATAAATATATTTTTTGTTTGTTTTTTTTAACTTTTTTTTTAAAAAAGGGGAAAAGAAAAATAGTTAAGTGATCTGCAGAGCCGCAAAAAGTGTTTAAATCCTACCTTCACATAGGATACAGGACGAAAGACAAGTTTTTGATTGTGTGATATATATATATATATTTGCTTTTAAAAATGACAGCTGTTAAGGTTTGTGATTTTACTGGAGAAAGCCTGTCCGCCGGCAGACTGGAGAAGGTTTTCGTGAGGCAGGTTTAAGTGGCTTGAGGCGGACGTAAGTGCCGGGGTCAGTACTGCCAGGATCTGCGCCTGGCTGCCCGTCTGAGATGGGTACGGAGAGGCCGGAGTACTCGCCGCGCTGCTGACCCCGATAATGTTGTCTATGGAAAAGGACGGCCTCGCCTGACCGCTGCTGTCCGCTTTCAAGGGCTGCAGGCTGGGTACCGTCGGGCTGAGCTGGGGGTAGAAGGGTTTCCTCGTCAACTCGCTGCCCAGCAGGGACGGGATGTGCGGTGCCTGGAAAATGGAGGCCGGAGACGGCAGGGCGCACTGCGGGGGCTGGAAGGGGAATGCGCCGCCGTGGTGGTGGTGATAATTCTGCAGCTGGATGCTGTAATTGTACCCGTATGGTCCGTACCCGAATCCGGGCAGGAAGCTATTGGGGTCCCGCAGGATTTCGGTAGACTGGTGCCTCTTGAAGCGCTTTCGCCTCCTCAGAAAGCTGCCGTTGTCGAACATGTCAGCGGACTCCGGGTCCAGGGTCCAGTAGTTGCCCTTCCCTGGGTTGCCCGGCTCCCTGGGGATCTTGACGAAGCAGTCGTTGAGGGAGAGATTGTGCCGGATGGAGTTCTGCCAGGCGGGGAATTTCTCCCGGTAGTAGGGAAACCTGTTGCTGATGAACTCGCAGATCTCGCTGAGCGTCAGCCTCTTTTTGGGGCTCTGCAAGATTGCCATAGTGATGAGGGCGATGTAGGAGTACGGGGGCTTCACCAGGGTGTTCTTGCCTGCTTTCTCACCCCCTCCTCCACCCCCTCTCGCCGAAGTGCATTCGGAGCCGCTCAGGGCCGGCGAAGGGGCGCCCTCCCCCGCGTTCCGGGACGAGTTGTCGTCCGAGTCGTTGTCCGAGTGGAAATCATCATGGTACTTTCCGTCTTTGACGACGCTCATGTCCCCAACGACGTCTATATCCACATCCTCAGACAGAACGGAATTGTCGGACATCTCCGTCCCTAAAGTCATCGTTGGAATGTCTCCTCTTCCGAGCGTCCCCCCAGTTCCCTATGTCGACCCCCCCCCTCCCCTGCCAACGCTGACACCAACACCTCCTCCACCGAAGCTGCGGCACCAGCGAATCCCCGGTCCGCCTTCACGCGCAGCCTCTTTTGCAAAACATCAAATGCGCAAAATGAGTTCAGTTGCAATGCGCGCTGCGCGACGGGGCCGTGAGAAACTGTGCAGTGGGCGCACACAGCTGCATTCCCCGGCAAGATTCTGGCCAGCCGTTGGAAACAAAACGAAAACAAAAAGAGAGGAATCCGTCGACGTTGTTATCGGTTAGTTGAACTCTTCTGCTTGCTTGTTTTCTTCCTGTTTTATTTCGTGAGACCCCTTTGCGCACGGTCCAGAACGCGTCCAAGTCCCGTGCGAGCCTCTAACTCTTTCCCCTCCAAGCTCTCAAAAGACATTTATCCAGCTCCCGCAGTCACGTGCCCAGCGCGTCACAGCTGCCAGGCGCGCGGCCTCAGCCAGCCGGAGCACAAGCCAGGACACACAGAGAGACACCCCGCGCGTAGACTCCAGGCTTTATTTATTCTTGTCCATTCCATTCTTTGTTTCCGTTTGTCGTTTCTTCAAAAAAAAACAAAAAAACAAAAACAAAACAACGAAATTGATCTAAAACCGATCTGGAAAACAAGTGACGTTCTTTGCCTGTACTCCAATGCGCAAACTGAGTGTTTCGGTTCTTGCACACCGTTTGCGTGAAAGTCCAAGTCACAGCTGTCGTCAGATCAAAACCCAAGATCGGCGGTAATCAATAATCAAACAAAACACACAGGACTGATGCACGTTTTCAGTCCGCTTCACACTGCGTTTCCACGCATACCCGCGCAAAGCGCGTTCAATCACTATAGAGATATTGACGGGTTTCTTTTCGAAAAATAATCTTATAGGTTTGTATGTTTTTGTTGGTCCGACTACAAATGTCATTGAAATTGATAACAGTGAACCCGTGGTTTCAATTGAGCGTTTGGAGTATCTACAGTTCGACATTAAATGTCATACGTATTATGCTGTAGACAAGCATTTTTTTCATTAACTTTTAAATATGTTGGAAACGGTACCCAGCTGGTGAAAACAATCTTGATGAGCCAAGATTCCTAAACTCCGCGGTGGATTAAATCGACATTCATTCTATATTGTCAGATAAAACTCCGTGCTGGAAGGATAGTAAGTTTCTGAACGAGATAAGGAGTTCATTAAACATTTAATGTGTATTGGCGTTTCTGGATTAACTTCGATTTGCTTTCCTGCAACTAAAATGTAGCTTTATTCACACTCTGTTCTCCAACTCTGATTCAATAAATAAAGGAGTGTTCTTTGTATTCCGAGACAGTCTAAACTGTTGTTTTTACGCCATTGAAATATTCTGGGCAAGGTTATTCCGATTTGATTTCCTATGTTGTTCTATATTCTGTTACGTTCCTCTTCCTATCCTCTCACACAAATTTCAAAAGAATGAATATCAATGCAGTTACTTTCCCTCATAGCGCTTCTGGAGCCCGGTTTGATAATAAAAATTACGCTCTCTAATTTGCATTCCACTTGGACATTCATCCGAATATGTTAATAAACCCGCAGTGAATCAAAACATCTTTTCAAAAGACTTCTGGAAACACGGCTAATCACATGAACTGTAGAGCGCGCAATTTTTATTTTTCTCTCGTTCGCTATTCGGAAAATAAGGAATAAAAATGTTTTCGTTTTTCAGTGACCTGTAGAAGCAAATATAGATGTGACTCGGACGTGCTTGTCGTCATTCTTCCTCAGGTTTAACGACATTTCACATACAGTAAAGAGTCTCTTATGCAGTCTTTCTTGCTCCTTATTAGAATCTTCTCAAACACAGAATACCAGTTAAAAGCTTTCTTTAAATATGAAGATGTTTATTATATTGTTGTTTTTGTTCACTGGAGTGGCATTTAGATTCTTCAGGATAAAAAAATAATCTTGGAACACTTGACAAGATTCGTGCGCAGTATTTCTGACAGTCCTCCCTGAACCTCACACGCGGAAAGCGCCCCTTATTTAAATCGATTACCCTCTTTGCTCGAGTATAAATCAAGGCAACCAAATACTGAACTAAAAACGCTTTAGGTTTTCTCTAAAGAACTTTCTCTGCTTAGATGCCTGCATGTTCACACGAGATTCCCTGTCACTCACAGGAGCCGGTTTTCAGGTGCCGCAGCGGGCGCCTGCTGCTTAGAGTTCCGTGTCTCAAAACCTTCAGGTAACAGAGTTAAACCTGTCGTTTATCAGACGCAAAAAAATGCCAGGAACAGGGGAAAAAAACAATACACGTATTTTGATTTATGCGTAATATATACGCACACGAACATACATAAGACTCATGTCAAAAGTACATTTGAAACGGATTTCAGCATTCGTATTAGATGTTTGAAGAGTACCTTTCCGCAACTTCGTGTTTTTAGTGTGAATTCATAAGCCATCATTACAACAATTTGTTTCTTGTTTAATGGTATGTGCTTATTTTTCGTCTACTATATCCGAGCGATCTAAGGTAGGGCCTTCTGTATCTGCCACTACCTGATTACGCATCAGTTGTTTCTCCTTATCATTGTACTTTGTGTACTGAGTAACAGAGCTAACTCTGAAATTGACACTCTCCTCATTAAAACCTGTCACCAATTCACGTTAGCCGTTTGGGCGAAAGGGGGTCTGCTAAATAAAAATAATAATAATAATAATAATAATAATAATAATTGCTTACACTTATATAGCGCTTTTCTGGACAGCCCACTCAAAGCGCTTTACAGGTAATGGGGTCTCCCCTCCACAACCACCAATACATCTTATGAAGTAGTACACATACAATAAACACGTAGTTCTTATTGTAAAATAAAATTATTGTGAAATAGACTTGGTGTGTAAACAGCCTAACGTGTGCGATGACCTGTGTACCTGTCCTATCTGAAACACAGACCAGAGCACCCTGCTCAGATAGAGCTAGGTCACAGAATGATGGTAACTGCTCCTTCAGTTCAATATCAGCCGATACCAGGTATGACCTCTCCGTCTGCAAACAACACTTATGGCAACATTCTACGTATAAATCCTGATATAAACCTGTACAAAAATATACTGTTTTTGGAATAAGACAATGACTGGTTACTCTTAACATAATCCCTTTTACGTACTGTATGATCTCGCCAGTTAGGAAAGTAAAATCCGTTTTCCTTTTGTAATGTACACCTTCAAAGCCTGCAAAACGAGTTTTTTTAGATGAGCTTTTTCAGAATCTATTATCGCCACTGTGAATTATTCTTGAGGCTCAAATCAAGCGATTTGAGTTGAGGAGCCTGTAGAGGCCGCTCCATAAATCGATTGTACCGGAGAAGTCAGTGCCGGGGGTGGGAGAGGGCGTTATCACTCCCTCCTTGAGGTTGAGAGCCAAGCAGTGTGGAAGTGGCGTCTTAACAGGTGAGCGTCGCGTCTGCCGTATAACAACCAGTGCCCCAGTTTTACTGGGGGCACCCGACTTTCTCACCCTCCCCGGCCGGCACTGAAAATCCCACTTCCCAATCATTACAAATACATCTCCCGTCACAGCCATGAAAAAAGTAATTCTCTGGTACTGTACGCGCCATGTGCTTGATCCATATAGACTGTAGTCAAATACACGGAGCTTCCGGAATTTCTATTAATCCCCGAATTATTTCTCAAGGTCTTCACGTAAAGTAGCCATAATGTCATTTATCCACATTGCTCTCGCTTTCCAAGCTACGCTGCTTCAATTTTCTTCATTCCAGAGCCCAAAGGGTTTAAAATATATGTAGCCTAAGGCTAGCATACTTCATATGCGTCTGCATGCTTCATAAGCGCCCGTCATTACCTCCTTTTTGTTAAACAGGTGCCCTTATGGAAGCTTGATTTCTCCTGATTTCAATAAGATCAATTTTACAGCACCATATACGCGACAAGTGATACACGCGATCACTGTGTGTAGCGCCGTTTCGCTAACTCAATGTTGTTGTTTTTTGGTAACGATAAATATCATATTTAATATCAATATATCAATCTAACAATCTAACGTTAATCCTAGGAGATAATAGTTTTTTAAAAAGACAGTACTGGCCGAATTTGTGTTTTCAGATCTGGAGTTTATCGGTCCTTTCATCAAGATGATTCCTGATCTGTTTTTAACCTTGTATGACGGCTTCCTTCGAATTTAATTAAAACTATTGACAGTAACAGTGCAGCGGTGCCACGTTTCTCAATATAAACTGTTAGGGTACCCGCGAGAAAAAAATGACGTTTTCCACACGAAAATGTTTTAGTATAGCAGAAAGTATGAAGATCAGCGGCGCGGTAGGCCTGTTCGTACTTTAGAAACAGCGAAATGTAAAACTTAATTTGATCAATATAGTTCATACAAATATAAATAATATGTAAACGCGCTCAGAATAATACAGTCTAAATAATAATAATCCTTTGCAAACCCAAGCACGCTGTATATAGTCATAAGGAAAAGACAAAACAAATCAAAAGTATATAAAATGAAAGAAGAGCATACAAGATAAACTGGAAGCCAAGCAGACATAGGAGGACTAAATAAAAGGGAAGTTTTAATTTTGGACTTGAAAAGAGTTAAAGAATTTGCCTCTCGAAGAGTGGGAGAAAGGACATTCCGTAACACAGGAGCGGGGAGAGAAAAACACGGCCGCCGGTATTCGGAGATTAAGAGCCTGAACTGAACAGAGCCAGCCGGGGGAGGGCGAACACGAACGAGCTCAGAGATATATGAAGGAGCCGGGCATCAGGCTGCATTTTTAAGACTACAACACGAGCACTAGATCCAAACGATACTCAGCAAGTTAACAATGATTAGCGTGCACTCTAATGTGTACTACGGTACATTGTAGGAGCAGACAATGTAGTTAAAAATGAGAACCCAAAAGTCAAAACTATGTTTTCATTACAGTCCTCGCGTGAAAATATTTGCTCACTTGGTTAAACCCAGTCAGCTCTGTAAACTAATCATCTAAGCCCTTAAAGCGCTTTCATAATTTATACAAAGAAGCCGGTAAACCTCATCTGATTCCTCCAGTCTGCATAGTCAGTGACTGGGAATCGCTGTTCCGAGTGACGGACAGCAGAGGCGAGTCCCGACTGAAACCCCAGGACAGCCGTGCGCTTTCTCCGGTCTGCTGTGACCGGTGCTCCGCTACACTCATCATGCGCCCAGAGATGAGGGAAAACCTCACACCCCACTACACGCCAAGCCCCCCATAACGATAAACACCGATATCTATCACTTCACGCTTCCCGGCATAGCAAACAGACGTCTTTGGTTGTTTTGAATGATTTTTTAAACGGCGATACAGAGACGATTTCACGACCTCGTTTCCAGTAAGCTTTACACGGAATAGTCCGCGGGCTTAAATATAGAGTAAGGACATATTATTATAGTACAGGCTATTACAGGTTAGCATATAGCCTATTAAAAAAGAAAACAAAACACGAAT